CCATAATGCAGCTGTCAGAATGCGGACTCGTTCCAGGGAAATTTGGACCTTCTATTGCTTTTGAAAGCACACAAAGAGCTACAGATACCTGCTTTCGTTTTTCGATAAAAAAATCTAAATCAGCTCACTCGGCTCTTACCATTAGAAGGTGCGATCACTTGCAGAAACAGGATTATTTTAAAGCAAAAGTATACACACCACCATTGTCTTCCTTGACCGCAGTCAATCCGTAAGCGTAACACCATAATATATTTTTATGGTAGACTGCCATCGGATTGGAATGAATTGTGTTCCCAACGTTTCGCATTTCCTGAATCTCAAGCTCTCTATTGCTAGCTCTCTACACACAGTTGATTGCGAAATTAAAGTAGCTCAACGGTCTCATCATTCATCTCTGCACCAGATGAGAAGACTAAGAAGATAAACGAAATCAAAAAAAATCATAAAATGGAAGCCATAACATTGTACATTGAGGCCATCCTTGTGCAGTTGGAAATTGAACTCAAATTGGAGCAGCGAATCCTCGTCCGAGTCCACATCGTCAAACGAGCGGCCGTCTTGGTAATAGTTTTCATAAGCTAAACAATAACTCTCGTGGGCGTTGTCGCAAGATACGGGGGCATTGTGGTGGCAATGAACTTAGAAGCGCTTCACATCTGCACTTCTTTTCAATCCCTAGAATTCCTGTCTCCTTCAAAGCTCAGTTTGATGGTACCATGACTCGGATGCACTTGTGATAGCGCCCTTTCATGGATACTACGCATAACACCTCACGGTAGCTCTGTGATTAGGTATTTTGCGGTGCTACCGTAATTCCACTCCTATTTTTATTCGGCCGGAGGCAGAAGGAATGAGACTACCTTTATTGTACCTCTATGGTTACAAAGTAGTGAAACCATACTATCTTATGCTTTTTAGTTTAGCAATCGTATCGCACGATCGTGAGTCTTCCTGATTTCTAATTGCCAACATGGAAGTAGTACACATTTGGGAAGGTTAATCCGTGGTTATGAACCAGTGCTTTTCAATAATGAGACCAAGAAAAAGAGAGGTTGTGTGCTTATAAGATGTTTGTACCCCATGAATCCAAGAATGATTCGCAGGACTTTCCAGTTAAAGCTCAACGTTCATGCTGTTGCATGTTTGCAGAGGTGTTCACCATACACTATTCACCTCACTAGTCTTCTTCATTTGCATCCTGCACCCTGTTTGCACTCTGTGCACATTTCGCTTCGTTTGTGCTAGCATTTGTACTCACTTTATTAAACACAAGCTTCAGTGTGCTCTAATACTATACGGCATGGCTAACGACACACCTTTTCATGGTCTATCAATGATAACGTTGAAGGACTGACAAAATACAAGTAGCTCTTTTACAATGTAGATATCACCTGTATCACCTGTCGTCCCGTTGATCGTCGATTTGCTCGAGCGGGCGCCAGCAACGTCTCCATTCGTCCCTGTCGCGTGCTAGAGTGGTCCAGTGGATCCTCCTGCTCGAGGGACACGAAGTCCTTCATTCCTTTCGTTCAGAGCTTTCGTGAAGAAGTCTGACCATCGGGCCGGCGGCCGGCGGTCGTCCAGGTGTTCGTTTGACGTCCCGAGGGATCCAGTCGGTAACCGCTCTGGTCCAACGGTCATCGCAAAATCGCATGACGTGTCCGGCCCACCTTATCTTCGATTCCTTGGCGAAAACGGCAGCGTCCCTGATCTTCGATCGTTGGCGTAGTTCCGAACTCCGGATTCCCCTCTGCACTTGCGTGTATAGGGTTACTCCTAGCATCGTCCTCTCGACAGCGCGTTGGATAACCGCATGCTCGTCCTGCCTGCGCAGAGTCCAAGTCTCTGAGGCGTAGGTTAGGGCAGGAAGGACAGCGGAATCGAAGAGGTGGGCACGGAGCCGGATGTTCTTCGTCTTCTTCACTACTCCCTCGATGTTCTTGTACGCTCCCCAAGCCGCTCGTTTCCTCCTGCTCAGCTCTGGAGCTAGATCGTTCATCATATTGATTTCCCGACCTAGGTACACGTAGCTGGAGCATTCGGTGATGTTCGTTCCGTTGAGCGTGAATGGGGCATCAGGAACCAATCCGTTTCTCATAAACATCGTCTTCGTTAGGTTCAGCTGTAGACCAACCTTACCACAGGCGCAGTCGAAATCAGCCAGCCCTCCAGTTGGTTAGCCACGCTATCCTGGAGCGGAAACAAGGGGCTTATTTTTGGAGGCGGCCCCGAATCGCCTCCCATGTACTTCCCAGTCACTTGAATGCAAGCTTTTGGCTGTGCCGACATGCAGGATACCAACCGCACACACACAGAGCGCACACCACACACGCAAGCATGCATGGATGCGCCTGAGTGGAGACAGCTGGTATGAATCAACACAGCACTACAGAAACAGGGAGTCCATCCCCTGAATCCACCTGCGTCTCAGGGCAAGTACATGGTGGCTTTTGGTCCGCGATTTACCCCCTATCCGCCACCTGGGGTCGCGCCACGTAGCCTCGCCACCAACCGGCTCGAGATCTTTCAGTGAGAGAGGACCCTCAGTGAAAGAGATCCGTGGATATAGATGGGTGAATGTAGATATAGTTGTGCAAAAAAAGAGCAATGGCAATGTTCTGAATGGTTTGGAAGAACTGGTGCTGATGGCAATGACGCAGGCAGAGACTGTGACCAGTCTGAATCCGCAGGCGATGGATCAGCAATCTTCTTCGATGTCTAAACCTCCCAATCGATCGCTTCCCTATATAGCAGAGGTTTAACTATGTACTTGTGAATTCGGTAAACTGCACTCTCGGAAGGCTTTCGGCTTCCCGAAAAGATACCAATTTCTCGGTTCTAGTGCTTATACTAATGTGCTAGAACTTGCTGATGATCTCGATTTCAACATTATTCTCAGCTCCTTCTCATATAAGGGATGTAAGGAGGCTGGGATGAGAAGAAACCGTGCGACAAGACTGGTGGGCACTATTTTACTATCACAACGCCAAAATCTCAAAATTTTCTTTTTCTTCGAATACGAAAATGACATTCCTTTTTGACAGTGGCGCCATCTGGCGCCAGTTGGCGTCACCTTGTCACGACAGTTGTTTTCACCAAATTCGGTGTAAACTTCTGTATAGGGGTTATTTGGTGTCCTGATTACGAATATGACATTCGTTTTTGACATTAGCGCTGTTTACCGCATACTTCCCGCTTTTCTGGGCTCTCTCACCTATACATAGCGCCTTGGGACTAAGCTTAGGGGATAGGGAGACCCGGAATGGGTGAATCAGGCACCGTGTGACGAAGATGGAGCGTGTGAGATCACAGGGGTGGGTGGCTCACTCACTGATATCCCTCCTCTCCCCTAAAGCTTAGTCCTGATCGCGATCTAGTCACTAGGAGGGCGCAGACGAAGAGAGTAAAGCGCTAAATGGAGCTAGCGCCAAGAATGAATGTCATATTCGTAATCTGGACACCAAATTACCCCTACCCAGAAGTTTACATCGAATTTGGTGAAAATCGTGACAAGGTGACGCCACCTGGCGCCAGATGGCGCCACCGTTGAAAATGAATGTCATTTTCGTAATCAGGGCACCGAATTACCCCATATGTGCAAAGTTTCGACGAAAAGTAAAATTTCGAGATTTTCTGGGTTGCAATCCCTACTAAATATAAAGCGACGTCTGCCTGGTGTGTGTCACGAAATTCATAGCACGCGTCACAGCAGTCGTCAGGAGTTGATTTTGGGATATGATATAGGGGTGGGACGGGAACATATTTGGTGGGGGTCAGAAAGTGATAACGACTGATAAGAGCAGATAAGAGGCGCTGAAACGCAAATTTCACGAAATTCATAGCGCGCGTCCCAGCAGCAGTGAGGCAGCCATGGAGCGCTGTATTTCAAGTATAATAGAAGGTGGGGGACATATTTGATGGGGGTCAGAAAGTGAGAACGACTGATAAAGACTGATAGTAACGATATGTGTACGAACGTAGAGCTCACTTGAAACCAGATTCTAGATAATGCATTTCAATATCATTTCATTAGCGTTGTAATTGTAAACTCAAACACCTTTCGACCGCTACCTTCTAGAGTTCTTGAGGATGAATGGGATGCTCGAATAAATATGATAATGAATGGGCATTCCATTTCGAGATATTCGACCGCTAAATTACCTCGATACTCGATGCATGGTGGTTGTTTACATCATCACTTTAGCTGTGCACTTCACTGCGCTTATCAAACAGTGAGATACAGCCAAGATGGGCAGCCTATGCAACGGACAGTAATGCATTTAACGAAGCAGCTATAGTTAAGCGGTTGAAATCTAAAGCTTCACCGATTGTCAGTTCTATCAAAGCTTCCCTGTCATGCGCGCAGTAGCGTGCGGAGCTAAACTGGTTGTCGAATAATGCTGACCGGTGAACCAAAAAGCACAAGAGTGTATGATTTCGCTACTTTGTACCCGTGGAGGTGCAGTAGTATCGTTTCCCCATTCTTCAGCCGTATAAAATTAGGTGGAGATCACGATAGCACCGAGCGGTACGCAATTACATTTTGCAACCGTGAGGAGTTATAGATAGAATATCCCGTAGTTTAGTCACTCAGTAATGTAGCTAACTGAAGAAAAAATGAGAACGCTGACCATTTTCCTTATGTACGAGTACTTTTCTTCCGTTCGTGAGCCGTATTTCGATAGGATGTGATCCTTCCTTAATGTCAAATCAACCATAGCGCTCTGCTTAACAATTCTATTCCTACTTGTTTGCTATTCAATAGTCATACCTCTCCTCTCTTCGTGAAGTCTATTATCTCTAGCCCGTCCACTGCCGGTACGTCCATATCGCTAACGACTGCAATTCACTTCACACACCGAAAGAATGAACCTCCCCCAATTAATCTCCAACGAAACGGGCCTCACACACATCTCACCTATCATAAGATTGAATACGTATCAGTGACAATGTACTGATCCGCTCCGTTTACCGATTCGGAATTCTGCTACAACAAATATTTCCGGCAGACTTACGATCATTGACCTGGTACCACATAACTTACCATTATATTATTATCGTAGTGGAGAAATGATTTGGGCAGCCAGAGTGGATGCAACTTTGTCAGAGCCTGGCCCACCATGCTCGGTTATCAATTATGCCACAATCTGCAACAAAACGGGCCTTACACCAAAAGCGTAATAAAGGATCAACAAGGACAGGAACAAAAAGACAGTGACGAGGTTTTATGGCATTCATCGTCTTAAATGAGGTGCTGCTGTGTAAGCGGTGTTAAAGGAATGAACGAACCACCGAACGCGTTCTCACCTATTGTTTAGCAGTGAAGCGTTAGGTTCCACCGCTAAACAATAGGTTACATCGTTAAAGGCATTAGCTGACCGTTGCATAGGCCGCCCGCTTTAGCTGAAGTCAGTGTTTGATAAGCGCAGTGAAGTGCGGAGCTAAAGTGATCTCTGTAAACAACCACCATGCATCGAATATCAGGATAATTTAGCGGTCGAATAAAATTCGATGCTGATGATATTGAAATGGAGATACCCAGTACTCACTATCTATTTCTTGAACTACCTCCACCACACATTCTTAGAAAGTCCAACAGTGCAGCGGTGGAATGGTATTTTAGTTGATGAAGACAACGCGAATTCAATGATTGATTATTGAATTTGTAGAATCTGGTTTTCGAGTAAACCTTATGCTCTCTGTTCATATTGTAACTGTCAGTCCTTATCTGCCGTTATCACTTTCTGTCCCCACCGAACATGTTCCCGTCCCACCTGTACATCACTTCTTGGAACCAACGCCCCACTGCTGCTGGGACGCGCGCTATGAATTTCGTGAAATTTGCGTTTCTAGCGCCTCTTATCAGCTCTTATCAGTCGTTATCACTTTCTCCCCCACCAAATATGTTCCCGTCCCACCCCCTACATCACTTCTTGGAACCAACGCCTCACTGCTGCTGGGACGCGCGCTATGAATTTCGTGAATTTGCGTTCTAGCGCCTCTTATCATCCATTA